GTGCTTGTAAACTGAAATACAGAGTGCACTGTGAAGAGGAAAAAAGAAGTAAATATGTTTTATTATAAACGCTTCCGTAATGCGATTGTTACGTTCGTGTGTTATGAGGAAAATTGTAATATTATGCGGTTGGAAAAATTGGACGTCACGTGAAAAATTACGCGTTAAAAGTTTGTTTATTTAAATCTTGATTTATGATCGTCTGAATTACTCTTGTAGAAGTAAAATTACTAAAAAATTTCTAATTCAAAATTAATCACTTCCATCTGTGACTTTCAATATTTTTGCAAAATTTGAAATAAATCATTCACAATGAAAAGCAGACTCTCAGAATTGAATCTTGAGTCATAATAATCTCGGTACTCTATTTTGCATCTAGCATTCTTAATTAAATAAAATTGCAAAAAAGTTTCAAATTCAAAGTTAATCACTTGCTTCTGTAACTTTCAATATTCCTGCAAAATTTTAAACAAAATTTTGTTTATTTAAATCTTAATTCATAATAATCTCTCAATCTAGTATTCTTAAACGAAGAAAATTACCAAAAAGTTTCAATTTCAAATTCAAAATTAATCGCTTCCTTCAGACACTTTCAATTCCCTCTCAAGATTCCAAACAAATCATTCTCAACGAGTACGCATGCACTTATCTGCGGTCCAACGAGGACTCGCTTATCGAACGCGGAAGATGACGCGGTCACGTCGCCTGTTCGTCGCGCTAGAAAACTTTCATCTCGTTCCTGACGCTCGAAACAGGGACAACCGACGGCGCGGGCGTCGCTGCAGCCGGCATCGATTAAGCAGAGAATTTCGATTGACGTACTTAGCCCGTTAATTAATTGGTTGCCAGTATGTAATTCAGCGCTTCCGCATTCTAGATCACGATTGTATCCCATCGCGCCGGCATTCTTGCCCGCATACCACCGAATGCCACGGATGTTTCTTACACGCGCCCCGCGCACCATCCCCGATCGCCAATCGAATTATGTCTTCAAACGGACAACAATCGGCCATTCGTTCGCCGGATACTCACGATTCCAGAAATAGCTTATGATTTTCGAGGGAAGAACGGATTTTTTTGGTTTCAATTGAGAGGTGTCAGGCAGAGTACTGTGGATCCTTAATATAGATCATTTGGATTTTGCGATCGATTCGTAAACGTATGAAAAAGTTATGTAGAATATTATTTTATGATTTTGGAGGAAAGAATGGAATTTTTTGGTTTGAATTAAGAGGAGTGAGGCAGAGTACTGTGGATCCTTAATATAGATCATTTGGATTTTGCGATCGATTCGTAAATATATGAAAAATTTTATATATAACATTATTTTGAAAATCTGTAGTATTGTGGATTTTACTTTGTATATTATACGATATTTTTAGTTTCGGTATTAATATTTTAGTTTTAGTATATTACCACAATGATATGCAATTCTTGAATTTTTTTTATAAAAGAATGTTTTTTTGCAAAAGAATTGAAAATTTGGATTTGGCACTTTTGTGTTCTTACCCTGATCAAAACAGGCGGATCTATCTAAAGACACATTGATATTCTTGAAACATCTTAAATCATAATCCTAAGTGGAACATATCTCACATAACCTACTCAACCTGCCCCTAATACGTTTTCCCATATCATCATCAGTAACAGGAACACTTATCTCATCTTCGCACTTGCCGATTTATACCTGTCCAGAAACTTTTCTAAAATTAATAGCATAAAATCTATCATTGAACAAAATTGCCTAGAACAACAACATAAAAAAGTAAACTAGTCCTCGTTACAAATGCTGTAACATAAAATACATCTCAATTACTTTGCAATACATTAACCTCTATCTTACAATTTTTTAATTCCAATCTATGATAGCCTCGACTAATATAACCTTAAATAAAAACAAAACAGAATATGATATACCAGAGTTTCAGCTAAAATATAAATTGATTATAATTTACTTTTACCACATGTTGACCATAATCTGCGCGACGAGTGTAACGCGTGATTATAAGGCAAGGGGTTAAAACAGCGGCGGCGGTTCGTTGAACCCGTAATCTCGAAGGCTCTAGAAACGCGGCGTCGATTTTGCGCCGTGTGTACGGACATTTTCGCTAGCAGCCAGCCAGCGTGAAAATGTATTCGGCGTGGCCGTCGCCGAAGCCTCGCCGATAGGATCGATAGACGCTAGAAACGCAGCCAGCCAGCCAGCCAGAGCAAGCCTCTGCATCTCCGGGTCGCCTGGAAACTGGCTGCGCGATTCTGTGTCAGAGCGATGGCACGCGCCTATATAGAGGCTGTGAACGCGATGGAACTGGCTGGCGAGCACGCGCGCGCACGAGCGAGCGAGCGAGCCAACGAGCGCGAAAACCGACGGAATTCGAGCGAGCTCTCCTCGGTCACCTTCGTGCAGCTCTTTCTCTGCGCCAGCGATTTTCTCGGACTCTCTCTCTGTTAACCGCCGCTGCCGCCTTTCCTTCCACGCGATAACGAAGCCCCAAACCCTTTGTCCCCTCGTTTTTGGGAAAATGAAAGGGGGTTAGCTTTTACCGGCACCGTGCTGGCCAATGGCATGGAAACGATCGAGGGGGGGCTAATTGATAAGGTTACTGAGACGATGATTGTGGTTTAGATGGCTGGGGAGTGAGGTGATGGTTGATTGTTTAATGAAGTAATTATGTGCGGAATACTAAAGGGATAGATTGCAGGTTTCGGAGATTCTGATTTGTATCGGATTTATTTGGATGTAATTGTGTTTGATGTATTCGTAGGTGTTTGTTTCGTTTGATGACTACGTTGACTTGAACGGGTGTAAGATTTTACAAGGTGAAAATATTTTGAAGATAGTGAAGATACTTCGAAGATTTTGAGGTTATACGTATGAAACGTCATGTTGATGTTTTGCATCGTGTAAATTGGAATCGTATTGATATTTATAGAATTTGTTTTGTACTTGAGCAATTCAATCGTATGTAACACGTATAAAGTAACCTTTACGTCATGTACATATTACTATTGGATTACGGGTTTTATGAATTACGAAATAATTAAATATTTCTCATTTTAAACTATAATCTTTATTATACAGAAGGAAGGTTCGCTATTCTAAGTTGCTAGCAAGAGCACTGTATGCGGACTGAGAACGTTCCAATGCAACGCCCGAAAAATTGCCTGCGACCCCGCTTGGGACCGAAGGGCCTTTTGTCACGTATCATAAACACTTAGGTCTAAAACTAAACAGATGTAGTAAAGCCAAACGGATTTCTTGGAACGCACGCAAAAGAAACAGATACTTCTTAGGAAAGCTTTAGATTTAATTTTTGTTATATTTATGTAGCTTATAAATCTAACAATTACAGCTAAATTATTGCACGCAAAAGAAACAGATACTTCTTAGGAAGGCTTTAGATTTAATTTTTGTTATATTTATGTAGCTTATAAATCTAACAATTACAGCTAAATTATATGGATCGCAAATAATACTTACGAAATAATTAGTCACTTAAAAACATCGTATATTATCGATAACATTTAATAATTCAATAAAAATGCAGAATTTAATGATTCAGATAAAAATTGTCCATTAAACGAAACCGGTTAAAACAATCCACCTACCAAGCAATCCACTCGACCAGCTCTTCATTTCCTTTCCACTCTAAATGTCAATGTCGAGCCATTAAATCACACACATCTCACTGTCACACCCATCAACAACCTTTTCAACCTTACGAAATTCTTAAACAGTGTGCACAGAAACGCGACAGGGAAACAAGCGATTTCACGCCATAAATCGAGACGGTCTCGAGCAAGGAGAAGCTCAGTTCTTCTCTGGAAAACTTTCTCTCTCGACAAACTAGTGAACAGGATCGTCTCGAGTCCGCCTAGCGACTCCATCAAGCCGAGAAAATCGTATCTTCGCGATTGATCGATAGAACCTAACCTAACCTACGAAGGACGGTTCGGTCCATTCGTTTCTCGGTTACTCACGACGAGAAGGCTGTTCAAATGCTCGAAACACGTTTCTTTTCTCCCTCGATTCCGGGGTAATGTAATCCCAGTCTGTATTACCGTACGAAGTGTGTTCTCTAATCGACTTATCGTCTTAGTGTAATCGATCCACGCGATCCGTGGCGCACGAGTCGAAGAAAGAGAGACACGAATAGGTTAGGATTGCGTTTGGCAACGCGAGAGCAGCAGCTACTTTTTCGTTTCGTGCCGGTCGGTTCAGTAATGTAATCGTTTAATCGATGGTAGGCAAGCGGGCAGAGGCGAACGAGGAAGCTGACGAAACTCATGGAAATGAGAAGTCTGCCTGCGTGGCGAACAATACCGTCTGCCGAGTCGCGATCGCAACTGGACGAACTGAAATCAAGATCGAAGCACTCCTTTCTGTCCTTCGTACCGTTACGTAGATACGCAGTACGGTCTGCGTGCGGACCAATTGCGCATGCGTGAGAATTGTTCCTTCGTCGTGGTTTCTGCAACAGTTTACACGGTGGATTTCTTTTTCGTTTCGACTTTTAAGCGTGGGTTATTTTTATCATTCCCGTTTCACGGTTTATCAAGTTACGAGGAAGTACGAAATGTGAAACACGTGAAAATATATGAATTATAGAAAAAATTTAGTGGCACAGATTTCTGTTATATCGAGAACAGGATTCTGTTACATTAGGTTAGGTGAATGTGGCGTCGAATTAACGGGACCCTGATGAGTTTGTTTTCTAGGAATAGTTCCAACTCGAGCTAGTATTATTGTTGAAGCATGACATTGGTGAAGTTAAACGAGTAAACAGGCTAATTTTCTAGTTATTATTGGATGATGAAGTATTTCTACCGGTTCTTTTTTTGTTCTCCACTCAGATTGTTTCTACGAAAGGAACGGAATATCGAATCTTGTTCAGTTGGCGAGTTCGCAAATTATATAACAACCGTACCTCTACCACCGTACCTTAATAAATAACGTTTGCCAAATACACAGATCTAATTGAATTTCTTTTCTGTTCCAGGTGAGTACATTACGCAGTAACCAAAAAATATACCAACGCAGATTCGTGAGTAAACCTAACCTAAGTAATAATGTCAACTTAACTATCACAACGTATCGTTGACGTCCAATCAAAGTTACAATACCGCTGAACAGGAGAATCTGTCGAAATATCGAATCTTCGAATCGGCACTATGTACTTTCGAAGGAACAACTAGTCTCCAACAAATTATCAATAATTACAGTATATCTCTTACCATTAAATCTAATTCTCTAATTACATCGAACAATATGTACACCTAACAGGCAATATCATAGGAAACACACGAAGTGTGTTATTGTAAACCGTTAAGGAAGGCTAATTTTCGCCGTTTATCGTAATAAATTGAATGGGCCAATTAAACTGTCACGAGCATCGGAGCGCGGTGCATCGAGCACAAGAGTGAGGGAGGAGGGGGGAGGAGGAAAGGAATAGGAGGACGATGCGTTTCTACACGGTAAATCATCTGCTTCGACAGAGCGTTTCATATATCTGGGAATTGCTCGTGCGCCGAGCAACTTTCGCAATAGTGAGAGGCGTGTGCCATTGCACGCAGCTTTTGATCTCCGGCGCGCACCGCGGCGGCTCTCTTGTGCCTCGTGTCACCGTTGCGTAGCTGCTCTTCGGGTCCTCGTCACGCGTACACGCAATCCCTGCCACGTCTACGGTGTAACAAAAACACCTGCACGTACTGCGTTAGGAGTTTCCCTTTTTTTTCGTGGAAAACTACGAAAAATTGTATGACGTTTCACGTTCCTGTAACCTGTATATAACAGTTGGATGTTTTCTAACTTGTTCTAGATTGGGTAAGTTACTGGAGGATTTTGATAATTGTTGGAAGCGTGTTTTGAGGTGAACAGAGGTATGTTTTGTGTTCACTGTTGGTATAGGAGTGAAACAGAATTTTTTTTTAATCAATAATGAAATCAAGTCTTCGATAGACAATCCTGTTTGTATTAAGAAGTATTCCGATGCATTCTTTTTTTATTTATTTAGTAGTTAATGAGCGTTAGTCGTCTGTAGTTTGGTCCAGTTTTTAAATTCTTGTGCTTTTTGGTAAAATAACTATTAATAATGTTGCAATTAGTACAATACTCTCAGAAGTGACTGTAATTCCATTTACTACAGACAAAATCAATTCTTCACGTTTAGACCATGAAGTATGAAGAACAGAGTTTTCTTGCCTTTCTTTGTCACTTTATTCTAATTAATTCTTCGCTTATCTTAAAACGTACCAAGTAATAAAATTATCAAATGAATTATTTTCAACATCGTTTTAAATGGAAAATATATTTTTGAGAGGCTAAATCATTTTAGACGTCTCCTTAAAATAGTCCTCAACATAATCTCATTCAAACTCAATTACCAACAATTTTACCTCTACTTAAACCACAAAAAGTAACGCTACGAGCCTTCATCCTTCGCCAAATCATTTCTCCTTCGATACGAACGCTTTCACCCTCTCGATTTCCGTTCGAATCACGGCTACTTCCGGTTGCATCCGCGATCATAGATCGCTAAAGACAACGAGCGTTCGACGTCGTAAAAAGGTCTGAGTGAACGGTTGTATAGTGGACAGCAGGTGTATGTTGCATAAAAGCACGCGAATAGCGAAGACGCAGCGGGCGTTCTCCGTCTGGAGAACAGGTTCGAGAGCAGAAGGAGGTAGTTGGAAGTAAAGAGAGGAGAAGGCAACACGCGATAGAAGATCACGAGGAATTCCACTTTCCCTCGGTGATTCGTTATCGGTAAAGAGAGAGACAGCAGGTATCGGGTGGAAATAAAGGAACGCCTCTCTTTGAGCGTGACGCGGCGATCTTTCACTTCCGGCCCCGCGATGAAAGAAAGCGACGCCGTTGACGAGCGAGCCCTCTTGCAAAATCATCCGGGAACAAACGAAACGAACGAGGTTACCGGTGTGACTGAAAGTGAAACGGGCACCCATGATCGTGCTTTTCTGTTCGAGTGGAGATTTCTTTTATTGTCCAGCTCGTTCTATCCTTCGCGGTCTCGGAGAAAGATTTGAAGAAAGACTCAAAATGGAGGACTTGCCTCGTGAAACTTTGCTCTGAAATTCTTGCTCGGTCAGAGACTTCGATCTTTTTCTTTTTAATATCAAAATTTTTAATTATTCTTGCAATGCAAAAATTTGTAAAAATCTTATTTCGTGGCTGTACAATTTTCACGATTTAGACTCGTGAAGCTTTATTCCGAAATTCTTACTCGATCAAAGATTTCAATATTTTTTTGAAAAATTTCAAAATTCTTAGTTATTCTTGGAATGTAAAAATTTGTAAATATCTTATTTCGTGGCTGTACAATTTTCACGATTTAGACTCGTGAAGCTTTATTCCGAAATTCTTACTCGATCAAAGATTTCAATATTTTTTTGAAAAATTTCAAAATTCTTAGTTATTCTTGGAATGTAAAAATTTGTAAATATCTTATTTCGTGGCTGTACCATTTTTACAACGATTTGGATTCGCAAAAATACCAAAATTCTCAATTATTCTTAAAACGTAAGAATTTGTAAAAAATCTTATTTCGAGTCTGCAGAATCTGGAAGTGTCACAGAAGTAAAATTTTAATTGTAAAATATTTTGGCAACCATCGGTGACCATCCCAGTTACTACGATCGTTCTTTGTCCATCTTTAACCCTTTCCCTCCTACAAGAGGTTGCCGTCTTTTATTTATCCGGTGTAGCACGGCTACCAGTGGCGTGTTTTTGATCAGAAGCATCCCTGAACACGGGGGATCGCGGCCACAATGAGCCGGTCTGTTGTTGATAAATACTTTCCATTTGTTAGAGCCGCGGGAAAGTCGAGCCGATGTGCGATACCAGCCGCGCGATTCGACGCAATCGTTTCTATGCGGGAGATGGATAGAAGCATTATGTGCGATTGCCAGACGGGCAGGAAAAACTAGCGATTCCTGGAGACAGAGTTGACGGATTGGAACCGTACGTCAAGTCGCCTGTTATTTATTCTACTGATTTTTGAGTGGTTTATGCGACGATACAGTGGAAATTTTCTTGTTACTGTGTTCATAAACTGTGCAAAAATTCTTGGTGAAATGGAGAAATTCAACTCGCTACTTTTTAATACAAAATGATCATTATTGACAGGATCAATCTTCTGAATTTTATATTTTACGTGCATGATTGAAGTACCTATTTAACGATAGATCTTTGTCAGGAATCTGACAAGTTAGAGAAAGAGATTTAATTCCAGATTAAAAGAGTAACTGTAGCTAATATCAATTGGAACTTCTATATGTATTTTATGAAAGACATTTAGGTAACATGAAAAATGTTTCACTCCACTTTTCGAAATTCTTCCAATTTTAATATCGAAACTCATTCCTGGTGCTTAACTCTTCAAAATAAAAAAAAATTAATAAATTTAATATGACGAAGTTAGTCACTTTGGCTTCTGACTGGCTCGTATATAGCTAATATCTAGTAAAGAAAAGTAAAAGGAGAAAAATCAATCCATATTCGTACATTTATTTTTCAATCTACTTTGAATTACATATTTATTGTCTCAGCTGAAGGTAGTTAGCTGTTTAGAATAACAGAATTAGGGAGAAAGGATCCGAAGCCTAGCAGTATAATTTCTGAATCTTTTCCTTTTTCAAATCTTTTTCTTCTGTGTTATCGTCATATTTGTCGAACCTGATGTCCGCATGGGAGAATAAAAGAAAAGAGCAAAAAAAAAAAAAATAGGTTTAATTAAACAAGTTCGATTGGTTAACACAGCTTCGGCCCTCAGGAAGCATCAGATTCCAGCTGAAAATCCAATCTAGCGATCCTCTGAAAACACAACTCACAACTGAAAGCTTAATCCAAAAACAGTGTTTTATTTCCCCGTGACGCACGGATCAGTCGCTCATTTTCGCGTTGCGCATTCGCCATTCGCGCGTTTATCCTGTTTTAGAATCAGAATCGGGGGCGAACAATTGGATTTTCGCGCGCTATGCATCGGTCACCGGCGACAGGTCTCTAATGGCGGCGTGGCACGCGTGAAATACAGTAATGCCTCTCTAAGTGTCGTAGAGTTATCTCCCCTGTCTCCTACAATTAATCCTATACAGTTGCATCCACTTGTTATTTATTATCTGCATCGATGATGATTCGATTAACGGTGAGTTATTAAAATACGACGAAAAAAGGGAAAATTTTTCGGAGGTTTAAAATTGGCGAGGTTCTTGTTGCGGATAAATGTCGAATGCGACTGTATTTGTGCAATTACGAATTGTCGGAGAAGGGTGCGTAATTAAAAATTTCAAGTTCAAAATTCTAATTTCGAACTCAATTTCAAATTTTAGGTTTCAGACTTCATATTCAAATTCAAAATCCTAATTTTACGTTTCAGACTTCAAATTCAAAAATCCTAATTTTAGGTTTCAGACTTCAAATTCAAATTCAACATCCTAATTTTAGGTTTCAGACTTTAAATTTATTTGAAAATCCTAATTTTACGTTTCAGACTTCGAATTCAAAAATCCTAATTTTAGGTTTCAGACTTCAAAATTCAAATTCGAAATCCTAATTTTCGGTTTCAGACTTCAAATTCAAGTTTTAGGTTTCAGATTTCAAATTTATTTGAAAATCCTAATTTTAGGTCTCAGACTTCGAATTCAAATTAAAAAATCCTAATTTTAGGTTTCAGACTTCAAAATTCAAATTCAAAATCCTAACTTTAGGTTTCAGACTTCAAATTCAAATTTCTAATTTTAGGTGTCAGATTTCAAATTAAAAATTCTAATTTCGAGCTCAATTTCAAATTTCGATCTCAATTTCAAATTTCAAATTCAAATTCGAAACGCAAGTTCTAAGTTTCAGATTTCAATTTCAAAACGCAAATGTTAAGTTTCAGATTTCAAGTTTAAATTCAAATTTCCGATTTCAAACCTAATTTCATATTTCAAATTTAAATTCGAACACGCGAGTTCTAGGCTTCAGATTTCAAATTCAACTTCAAAACGCACGTGTCAGGTTTCAGATTTCAAGTTCAAATTCAGATTTCACATTTCAAATTCAAATTCAAAATGAAATTTCAAATTCAAATGTACTTATCTCCCC